GGTGGGACCCCTGAGGTGTCCCTGGGCCTGGTGGGCTCCCCAGGGTGTCACCAGGTCTGGTGGGACCCCTGAGGTGTCCCTGGGCCTGGTGGGCTCCCCAGGGTGTCCCTGGACCTGGTGGGACCCCTGAGGTGTCCCTGGGCCTGGTGGGCTCCCCAGGGTGTCCCTGGACCTGGTGGGCTCCCCAGGGTGTTTCCAGGGCCAGTGGGTTCCCCGAGGTGTTTCCAGGGATGGGTGGGCTGCTCCCCAGGGTGTCCCTGGACCTTGTGGGTTCCCGGGGTGTCCCCGGACCTGGTGGGCTCCCCGAGGCACTCCTGGGGTGGGAGGGCTCCCCGGGATGTCCCGGTGGCCGCCGTGCCCCCCGAGGCGCCCCGGGGCTGACGCGCTCCCGTCGGCAGAAGCACGAGCGGCAGGCGCAGCACCACTTCCAGCAGCAGCAGCGGCGCAAGCGGGAGGAGGAGGAGCGGCAGCGCCACGCCGAGTACCAGGCGCGGAAGGAGCGCGAATCCAGCCGGGATGAGGCCAAGCCCGAGGCCGCCGGGCAGGACCCGGCCCACGAGAAGAGCCAGAGCAAAGGGAAGGGCTCCGGGGGCTCCTCGCACGGCTCCGACAAACCCAAGCGCCCCAGCTCCCTCCTGGCCACCAACAACGTGATGAAGCTGAAGCAGATCATCCCCCTGCAGGGCAAGTTCCTGTCGGGGGGGGCCGGCGCCGGCGGCACGGCCACCGCCAGGTCCCCGCAGTCGCCCACGGGAAGCGAGAACAAGCTGCCCGGATTCCTCAGCTTCAAGTTCCTCAAATCCCCGGAGACTAAGCGGGACGCGGGCACCGAGAAGGTCCAGTCCCCCACCAAGCCATTCAACCCCGGCAAGCTCTTCAACTTCGGCAAGTCCGAAGGGGCCGCGGGCAACGGCGGCACGGCCGGGGCATCGCCCCAGCCCCGGCCCGGCCCCTCGGCGGACCCCGAGCGCTCGGTGCCCAGCAAGTCCCACCTCAACGGGGCTGCGGAGGAGGGGGGCCGGGAGGAGCCGGAGAGCCGGGCGGAGGAGGAGAGCGGCGGTTATAGGCTCTAACCGGGGCTTTCGGGGGGCCGGGAGCGCGGGGGGCCGCCCGCTCGCTCCTCCGGGCAGCCGTGGCCATCGGCAGCCTCTCGCCCCCCCTGGCCGCCCCCCCGCTCGGGGCCGGGCCGAGCCCACCGGCCGCCAGCCCCTCGCTCTGCCCCGGCCCCCTCTGCTGCGTCCCCTCGTGCCCCCCCGGCCCCTCCGCCGGGACCCGCTGCCACCCCGGACCCCGCGCCGAGGATTCCTGAGCGGCGGCGTGGATGGAGCGTCCCGGCGGCTTTCCATGCCCGCGGGTGGGAGTTATCCCGGGGTGGCTCCGCGCCGCTCCCGGACCCTCCGGGGCCGCCCGCCGGGAGGGTCGGGATTCCCGGGATCGGCGGCCAGAGGAGCCCGATTCAGCCGTGCCTACACCCCCTGCCCTCCGGCCATGGCACCGTGCCCTGCTCCATCCCGCTCCCGCCGCCTCCGCCCCGGATCCTTCCCAGCACCGGGACCTTTTCCTGCCGCGGGACGGAGCGGGACGAGCAGCGGCCACCCGGCCCCCCCCGCACGGGCAGCGTTTCTTGCACTAAAACCCAACCAAACCCCGACGCCGGTGACTTTCTCCTCCTTCAGCCGGGGGTTGGCACCGGCCGCGACCCCCGGGACTGCAACGTGAGCCGGGACGGGCCCTTCCCATCTCCAGTTTCGTATTCCCTGGAATTATTTCGCAATAAGGCGCTCGCACGCGCGGAGGTCGCGCCGGAGCCCGGGAGAAGGAAGGGGCTGGGACGGGGAGGGGGGTGGGAGCCGCTTCGCCGCCGCCGGGGGAAGGTTTTGCCGGATTTGCGCCGCCGGGTCTGGACTTGGAGCTTCCCGAGCCTTGTCCGTGCTGGGAGGGGGGGTCCCAGCTCCCCCTTTCCTGCTTTGCTGCGGCTCTGCTTCGCTTTCGGGGCCGGGCCGGGGTGGTGGCACCTCGCAGGTGACCCTGGTGGGGACACCCAGCCCTGTCACTCCCCCCCGGCCCTCGCCACCAGCTCCGCTCCGCCCGCAGCCGCCCACATTCCCAAAGGAAGCCGGGGAAAGGGGAGGGGGCTGCCGGGGGTCACCCCTTCACTGTGCCTGGCCCAGGCGGGGGGGGCTGAGCCCCCCTTCTCCCCCCACCCCATCCCCCCCCCAAAAAAAAATCCCCCAGGCCTGGGCTGCAGAAAACGTCAGGTTGGATTTTCCCCGCCGCCTCTTTCCAGAATTCATGGAAATTTCAGTTTTGGGGGGTCTAAAGAAGCCATTTTATACAGCAATAAGGGCAGGAGAGGGCCGAGGCTCCGCCTGCTGCTCCGCTGCCGAGGGAACAGCGCAGGGAGATGTTTTCCAGGGAAAAGGGCTCCCCCGTGGGAGCTGGGGACACCCCGGAGCTTTGCTGTGCCTGGAATGGGGGCCAGGAGGGCTCCGGGCCCTCCTCACCCTCCCACACGTGGGGGACGCAGGGAGAGGAGGAGGAGGGAGATTCTGGGGCGAAGCCCGGGAAAAGGGAGCACTAGGAGCACTGGGAGCACTGGGAGCACTGGGAGCACTGGGAGCACTGGGGCCCAAAGCTCCCCGAGAGCAGGGAGGGGTCAGGGCACTCTCCCTCCCTCCCTCCCTCCCTCCCTCCATTCCATCGAGTTTTCCTGCTCTGCCGCTCCCAAAAAACACCCGCTGGGCTTCAAGGGGATGACACCGATCCCGTTTCCCTCCCGAGAGCACCAATCCCGGCTCCGTCCCTCCATCCCGGAGGGGAGGGCAGGGCTCTGCCGCGGCCCGGACCCCCCGCCCGGGGCGCTGGGAACCCTTTCTCCCTCCAAAGCATCTCCCTGTCTGGAATGTGGCTCCGGGGGCAGCGGCTGTGCAGGGGAGGGAAGGATTGGGACGGTTGGTCGGTCTTTGTTTTGTTTTGGTTTTGTTTCTTTCTGTTTTCCTTTGCGTTGGATTTCCGTAGGAATTCAAAGGAAAGGAAGGGGGTTATTTATTTCTTTTTAATTTATTTTGTCATATTTTTGTAAAACCTGCAGAAATGCAATAAAAATCTATTTCAACAAGCCCGAGGCGTGGGGTGTCGTTATAATTATTATCAGCACGTTATTATTTCGTTATTGTTGTAATTAGTGTGGCTTGCATGGTGCTCAGGGGATGAGGATCCCTGGGAAAGGCAGGTGGGGACACCACGGACACCCCTCAGGATAAAGCTCCAAGGACAAGCCCCAACCACGCTGGGATCGAGCAGAGGAAGAATAAAGCAAGTTCTGATGCTCTAAATTCTGCAAATTTATTATACACAGTATCAAACATGGAAGAGTTTAAAAAGAAACGCCAAAAAAAAAAAAAAAAAAAAAAAAAAAGAGAAAAAATTCCAATGGCCACGACAATTCCAACCCGGCTGACGGGGGATTCACGGGCACCCCCCAGGGAAAACCCACCTTTTCCAGCCCCATGAGACGAGGTTTGTGCTAAAAACAGAGGAGTGAAGTCGCCAAGAGAGGGTGGAAGGAAGAGACTCCGGATCTTGAGGCTGCAAACGGAAAAATCCGGAAAAATCCGGCACTTGGGGATGGTGGAGCCTCCTGGAGCTGCTCCTGGACACCCACCCGGGACGTGGGGGACAGGAATCACCCAAGGAAGGTGGTTAATTAACTCTGAGCTGATTAGTGGATGTGTCTGGGAATGGGCACGAGCCCAGCCCAGCCCAGGGGTGACTCAGCCCATTCCAGGGGCATCAGTCACCCCGGATCCATCGGGATCAGTCACCCCAGATCCATCGGGAGCAGTCACCCCGGATCCATCGGCATCAGTCACCCCAGATCCATCAGGATCAGTCACCCCGGATCCATCGGGAGCAGTCACCCCAGATCCATCGGGATCAGTCACCCCGGATCCATCGGGATCAGTCACCCCAGATCCATCGGGATCAGTCACCCCAGATCCATTGGGAGCAGCCACCCCGGATCCATCGGGATCAGTCACCCCGGATCCATCGGGATCAGTCACCCCNGATCCATCGGGATCAGTCACCCCAGATCCATTGGGAGCAGCCACCCCGGATCCATCGGGATCAGTCACCCCGGATCCATCGGGATCAGTCACCCCGGATCCATCGGGATCAGTCACCCTGGATCCATCAGGATCAGTCACCCCAGATCCATTGGGAGCAGCCACCCCGGATCCATCGGGATCAGTCACCCCAGATCCATCGGGAGCAGCTCCTCCTGCTCCCCCCCAGCCCCTTCCCACCCTCCTGGACTCAGCCTTGACCAAAGCAGGGAAGAGCCTTTGCCCCTCAGACCACCCCAGACCTCCAAACCCCACCATTCCTGGGCGTGTCTGGAGCAGAATCCCGGGATCTGGCGCTGCAGGATGCAGGAGATCCCGGGATGAGCCGTTCAGGGATGAGGGGGGACTGAAAGGTGCCAATAAAGTTTCCTTCAGCCAGGAAAACGAGGAAATGGGAAGGAACAAGAGCACAGATCCCCATCCTGGTGCTGCAGGAGGAGCTCCCAGCGGGATTCACATCCCTGCGGGGCTGGAGAGAGCAGGGGTCCCATCCCCAGGGGAAGGAGAACAGGAGCAGGGGGAAAAGCTGTGGAAAAGCTGTGGGAAACCCCGTGCAGCCCCCTCTCCCACGTGGAAACCCCCCTGCTCTGACACAGGGCCGGGATTTCCAGCCTCACCAGCCGAACACTCCCTTCCCATCAGCAAAACTGGGAATTCTGCAGAGGTTAAAAGTCACCTCTGGAATCGTCAGAGCCACCTCTGGAATCGTCAGGGCCACCAAGAGGACCTTTGTCAATCCCTAAACCCACCCAATTCCTCCTCATACTGGAGAAACACGGGGTTGCTGGGAATAGGGAGATCAGTTCCTACTATCTGGGGACACACCGGGAAAGTTCTGCCTTTGAAAGGGGATCCTGGAGAATCTGGGAGGTTGGACTTCATTCCCTCGCTCCGAGATGTTCCTCCCTGAGCCCAGGTTTGGTCTTCCCAATATTCCAATATTTTTTCCCTGATGGGCTTCACCAGAGCCACGATCCAACCCCCTCTCCTGGCAGCTGCTCCCAAATAAACACAACCCTCTCCTCCTTGAGGGAGAGGATTCCCCCGCTCTTATACATCCAAAAAAATACAATATATAGGACAAAACCTGGGAGGGACCAGCTGGAATCCCCCTGGACACGCTGTCCCACAATCCCTTGGCTACTGGGATGTCATTAATGCAGGAAAATAAATTAGTTTTATTAGTAAAAAAAAAAAAAAAAAGACTGGAAATATAAGTGGGGACAGAGCTGCAGGTTGGGAAAAAATCCCAAGACTCCTTAGCCTTTGCCTTAAGGCCAGTGTCAAACTCCCCAAAAAATAAAGCTCTGAAGTCAAACCTGTCCCAATTATCCAGGAGAGAGGGGAAAAAAAACCCCAATAATTAATAATATCTCAAAATTTGCCTCCCAGTGAGTCAGGGAATGATGGAACACCCTGAGCTGGAAGGGACCCCCCTGTGTGGGCACATCCCGGTGTTTTGGGGTTGGGAAGGACCCCGGGAGGTCCCTCAAAAAGCTCCCAAGGACACAAAGAGGAGACACCGACAAACCAAACCCAGCCAAGGGTCAGCCACCAACTCCAGTGGCATGTCCTGGCCCCAGTTCCCTGTGGATTCACCTGAAATCCATCCTTCCCCTCCACATTCCCCATCCCTGACTCTTCCACGGGGACCTTTCCTTGCTGTTCCTCCCCCAGGAACCAGCAGTGCCCAAACGGGACCAAGAACCGAGTCAAGGAGTCACCCGACATTCCGGCGGCAGGAAAAGGCATTTCCCAACTTTTTAATGTTCTAAATGCACCCAAAACACATCCAGTGGCTCCCACGGGGCGGGAGGAGCTGCTCCTGCATGGATCCACCCTCCCTCCACGCGCTGAGTTCTGAGAAGAGACGCACAATTCAACCAAAATACCCCAAAATTCCCCATCTCGGACAAGTAGCTCGAGTTTTCATTAAAAAAGCCAGA